AGCACGTCTGGTACCGACTAGTAACACTAGGGATGATTAGTTGTGTAGTTGAATAGTTGCACACATCCTAGTAAAGACGTCGTTATCTGATTTAAATACTTTAAATATAGATTTATAGGGCTCTTATGCATCTTAAAGTAATCTCCTCTGAGAGTTTTACTTTACTGTTTGAACCTGGAGCCGGTGCCACTTTAAATAAATGGTAGCTAACCTTTAAATAGCCCAAGAAATTGGTTATTAAGTTTAAAGCACAGAAGACAGTAAAACAATCTGCATCTGTTCCATAACACTTAAGTGTTTTTTTTACAGTGCCTGTTTAGCTCAGAGGGCTGATACTGTGTAAAAGGCTTCTCTTTAAGTTAAAGAAAATCTCTGCAGCCAGCTGAAGTGGGAGGACATGTTGGTCAATCTTCAGCCTGTTATTTTAAAAGTACCTCACCAGGGTGTGAGCCACCTTTGTGTCTTTATATATCAGTGCCACTGCCTTGCCTTCCTAATTGTAATTCATGCAGTTGATATACAAAATTAAAATCCCACCAAATGTGAATCTGGTAAACAAATGTAAGGTTATTGTGTATGCAGGTCGTATTGCCTTGTATTATTTAGACAATGACTTTTACTTGAATGACCTCTTTCCTTCTGCTGAGCTGTAGTCTTAACTTTTGCATTCATTTTTAGGTTTTAATCTGTTGTCTTGTGTCCAACCAAAACTTTTTTAATTGAGTTCTTTTAAGTGTAACTTCTCGATATTCATCCCTCATGGCTGTTTAGGCACATTCTGCACACTGGACATCTGCCTGTCCCAGCTGGAGGATGTTGGCACAGTAGATGTCTGTCAGACGGTGCGGCGGATGCGTACACAGAGGGCTTTCAGCATCCAGACCTGGGATCAGTACTATTTCTGCTACACAGCAATCATTGAGTATGCCCAGCGGAATGGGAAGCTGAGCCCAGTGCAGTGGTCTGACTCAGAGCTAGAGACTGACAGCGAGTGAGAGACATACGGAGGGTAATTAGATGAACAGAACAGTCAATCTAAGCAGAAGTCATAGGAATGAGAGTGAGGAGTGGCGATTCTGAGTACATAAAGGAGATGACTCTTCAGCCATAACAGAGAAGAGGCACAAGATGGCAGACTCCCACAGTTGCTCTTCCTTCTTCCCATGAGTTGATAAACTGAGAAGGCAAAGAGCTGGAGAAGAAAATTCAGTGCAGTGGAAACTCTGCATTGACGAGCAAGCTGGCCTGCCAATTTCCAAGCCCCTTTTTAAAAAATTTAGCAAACTACAGGGGGTTTGGCCTGCCCCGAACCTGTGTTGTTGACAAAAGCAGTGTACGAGTAGCATTTTTATATTGACTTGCACATGAGGAATGACAAACTTGAACCTTACCCCTAAAAGCCCTCCAAACCCGAATCTTTGGTCCTTTTTGTATTTCTTGTTTCTTCTCAACTCTGAACAAATCTGTGACTGCAGATAAAATGTGTGGGGTATGAAAAGGTGAAACTTGAAAACATTTCTTTTTGTTTTTTCTTGGTTCTCTTTGAGAGAGTGTTTGTGACAGATCAGTGTGTGAGCCATTTAGTCCATTTCCATGGTTTTTTTGTGTTTTTGCGGGGGGGGGTTTCCCATGTTAATTTTTTCTATGGTGCATTTTCTATGTGAGTTTCATATTTGTGCATATGTAGACTAACTTTTAAAAGCCAAAGTCCGCAATCTGAATGCTTGGATGTACTCCTTACTGAGATATTATAGACTGAAGCCCATGTATATTCTTGTAACATACATTTATACATTATTGTGCATAATAACAATTTCTGAAATAACAGCAAAAAAAGCCTTGTTTAATATAATTGACTTAACCTTGAGGAAAGAATTCCTGTGTAGCGAGCCAGGCTATGACAAAATATAGAAGAGTTCTGGTTTTAAACTAATGTTGTATTTCAAATCTCTGATTTGTCAGGTCTAACATCGTCTTTACTGTTGGAGCGTTCTGATTGGACGATCTTAAGTAATTTGGCCTTAACTTGATTCACTGCCTCGTCCTTCTAAGACCCTGAACCATACCTTTAAACTGTACACTTTTATTTCCTCCCTTGGTTCTCCTCTTTTTCAATCTGACTCTTGACACCACAACTGTTGTTTGATTCCTGAGGTATGCTCTCCCTCAGATAATTGTGCCTTCACGTTTTCCTTAGCTTAATGTCTCGCTAGTAAGTAAAACCCAAACTAGTGCACTTGCATAAAACATGTTAACTTTGTGCCACACAGGACCCCCACATTTTGCCTATAAGTCCTGTACATAGCACACTATGTATAAATGACAAAGTAGTGAGTTATCTGGGAGTTAGCTTTGAGACGTGGTTATTATTTTATCATTTGACCTCAGGGGGTGTTTTTGCCTAGTGTCAAAGATCCATTTCTGGGTTTGCCTCTGGTAAATTATCATTTAAGGAAAAAAATCTATATCAACTTTATTTTGTATTTTTTACTGTATTGTATCCTACTGTATTTATGTCTTTGTACAACTTCTACATTATTGAAAATCCGTGAATGTTGGTACGATGCAACAAAGAATAACAGACCAGTTATTGCATTTGATAAGCTGAACAAATCGAACGAGGAGTGAACTATATATATTTTTCTTTGTTGTTCACAATGACATTGAGGTGGAAACTGTCACTTGCCATAGTATTTTCAGAACTGACTTGTATAAATGGTGATTGTTCAAGTTTAGGACAATAAGGGGTTGGGATGGGGGTGAGGTAGGGTAGGGATCAGGTAAGCTAACTTGTGTTTGTAGAGAGTTTATCATAGAAACGGTAACGTTACCATCCAACTGTATGGTCCCCTTATGCCAAGGACAAAGCAAAAACAAACACCTATTAAGAGCAGAAAATGGCAAAAAAAAAAAAAAAAGGACATGTGGCTGCATTTCTGTTCATATAAATATATATCTATATATTATTATGGGATAAAGTTTATCAGCATGGAAAGAGCCTTGAATGTTTTTGGGGTACTGGTGTCCGAGCAATTTAGTAAAGACTTTTTTTTTTTTTTTGGTGAATGTGGACCTTGCATCCTTCAATGCCAAAGGCCTAGGCTCAATCTGAAAGTGTTTTCCTGTCACACATCCTCAACAGCCTGCAAGCATGGACTTACTGGTGCAGTCTTGCATCCACGGACACCGAAAGACCCTGGAGCACCTTGGGAACATTGCTAATAAATATGTATAGCTACAAAATGGGAGAGTGGGTATGCAAGAGTTTTGATCCCTGTGCTACATTTAATTTGTTTTGTAAGAAACTGAGAATGCAATGTGCATTTGTCACTGGTGTTCATTTAATGTCTCTTTTTGTGCTTGAAGTTCATGCGATTGAATTACAGCCTTTTACATGCTGTCAGCCCAGCTGTCCCGTTAAAGAAATGGTCTTACTATCTTAAATGGATACAAAGCTAATGTGATCTCTTGGCTGAAAAAGAGTATTGCAAAGATTAAATGTGTAGTAAGAACATGTCCACCGTTTTTCTCTTTCATTGAAATTGGAGTTATAAAATTGCTTTCACATACAGAAATGGGTTGATGGGATCTTTGAAGTATTAAGCATTCAGCTAACAGTCTGTAGACTGTGGTCTGCTCTTTGCACTAGTGCAGAAATGTAACAGTTTAAGTATTAGTTACTCTAGTGCAAATGTAATGTACTCGAGTTCCCTCGTAGTTCTACTTCACACCTCCATTACTTTTCACTCCACATTATTTATCGGTTATGGTGTGGCACAGATATTTTAATTAAGGTATGTAACTGAGACTGAGATTCTAAAATATGAGGCATAACTTTATATTAAAAGTCCACCTCAACCTACTTATCTTCCACATTAATGCATCGTGGTAAAAACCTTAGGCATTACTCCATCTAAAAAAACAGTTTCCAGTTAAACTGAGGTCTTGCAAAGTTATCTGAGATCCTGTGTTACAGTTTAAATATTTTCACAGTGTTAGGCTTTGGAATCACGATTAGGTTTTAAGGATTCTGTTTAGATCCCTTCACACTGCCAGTTCAAAACAGTATGACATAAATAAAGAATAGGTGATGATGTGACAACTAAGATAAGGTAAATTAGATACCTAAGCATGTGGATGGGGGGGGGGGGAACTATATAAGAACTACAACATGCTGCAAAAATAAAGTACAACTACCAAAACCTTTTGCACAGAGAGCGTCACCATTAAGAACCCCATCTTTATGAAAATGAAAACAGTTACCACCACTAATTTAGCATGTGTTTCGATGTAGCCATTATTATGTAGTATTACTAACAGACGTTAAGGACATTTTAGTTGAAAGAAAATCATGTTGAGCAAAATCTGCCAGTTGTAGATTAATTTCTTGCTATCGACCCTTCAATGGCTAAACTCGTCAGTGGTTCCAGAATTGGGCACAGACATTTTGCTGTGCTGCTGCATTAGATCAGTAAAAAAAAAAAAAGGTAACGATGGCCTGCCCGGTCCTTTCATGCTGGCGCTTCATTTCACACCTGATCATGTCACAGCTGGCTTCTTATTTATCGAGACAACTTAACTCTAATGATATCAACCAGTCCCAGCTATTACAAAGTGAATACATTTGATAGAAAGCAGGTATATTTGATCAGGTTTTTTTTAATAATGTTTCTTTAAATTTTTATATATTCTTTAATATATTCTTTAATTTTGTAATATTTATTTAATAAAAAGTGAAACAAAGCAGTAGAATACCAGAAGTTACAGAAACTTTATTAAGAATAAATATACAAGTAAACATTGAATGTGTCCACTTTAATGTTACACTTGGACTGCGGATTTAAAAATTGTGAACGTCCTATGAAAGAGCATGTGTGTTTGTCTGTGTGTTGTTGTGAGGACAAAAAAGTTTCAGGCATCCCAATATTAAAGCTTCATTGTCTTCAACAGTAAGTTGATGTCATCACAGAGCTGTTTGTTCCTTGAGTTTCACTGCAGCATCACCTGTGTATGTGATTGTTTTGAAAAGAGTTGGGGTGTGTTTCCTGGGCACGAGAGCAGGACGCACAGCAGACACTTCTGTAATATGAGTAAACACACAGTCTGGCTTGAACCACCACCATGCAGTTATGATACTTATCACTGCATAATGGATCTGTGAAGGAAAAAAGGGGAAAGATATTTTAGATAATTGTATTTTCTGTCTGTTGTTTAGTGCAGTCATCTGCTTGGAGCAACTACTAAACTGGCTAACCTTGATAGAAGAGGTGGGACTAATTTAATCATCCTACAAGACACCAAGACAAAAGAATCAAATTTACTGTATATGGACCACATTAAGCTCTGAGTTCTTTTTGTTTAAGGCAGTTGGATCTGGATCAGCATCTTCATCGTCTGAGCTCTCTGTGATGTAAGGGGTCTAACACTGACCGTGCAGTATGCAGCTGAACTGCTGTCGTACAACACTGCTTGCCATGCTTACCTATTTCAGCTACACAAGGCTGTTCGTTGCATTCTTCTCGACTCTCCGGGATTAAGCTGGGATCACAGCGATCGCTTGGGACGATGTTGTCAGCAAGACAACGGACCTCGCGCACGCGGAAGCCAGCATTACAGGTCCGTGAACACTGAGGTCATAGGACGAAGACAGATTACACACAAACTAACCAGTTTGTCACAAATTGGTTCAGTTTTTAAAAACAACAAAAACAACAACATGTTTTTAGATACTGAAAAATGCATTTTAATGGTCTCCTGTTGCGCTAAAAAAAGAGAAATCTTGTCCTTGGGATAACTGCAGATCTTTAATGAGGAAAAGTCTCAGTAAAAATGTAGAGTGGTCTATGACTTAAAGACATTAAAGGGGACACAGTGAAGCTGCAAGGAGTAGAGTTAGTGAACGTAAATGAGATTAACTGCTTTGGGCCAAACATCCAATGCAAAGGAAAGAGTATAAGAGAGGTGAAGAAAAGAGGGCAGGCAGGGTGGAGTGGGTAAAGATGAATGTCAGGGATGATTTGTGACAAGGATAGCTGCAATGACAGGAAGACAGAAGGCCGAGGTTTAGGTAATATAACTGAGGATGGTGAGATTTTAATTGGGAGTGACCAGAATTGATAGAATTAGAAAGTATTATATAATAAGGGCAGGTCATGTTGACCAGTTTGGAGACAAAGTCAGAGAGACAAGGCTGAGATGGTTTGGATGTGTGCAGAGGAGGAATAGTGGATATATTGGATAAAAGATGCTGAATCTGCATCATCTGCTGCCAGAACTGATTTAGACGTTGGGTACACTTACCGCACTCCACTCCGTAACATACCACTGGACACCACATGGCTTCAGTCTGCAGGGCTGAGATGTGATTGGCTTCGAAAGACTGGAACATTTTAACTGGTCCACAACTTCCATTTGACCATCGCTGTTGAAAATGCAAGCCACACTTCGGGTCTGCGTGCCATTCCCACACTCTGCAGAACACTTAAATTACCCACACACATAAGTGAGTCTTCAAATGGATGTTGTTTGCACAGTTTGCAGATATGGTTATGTGTGTGTGTGCGTGTGTGTGTGTGAATTACCTGACTCCAAGGTCCTGTGTACCATTCCAGACGATTTTGGCATGGCCCTGAATCACATGATGTCACTTCTGGCGGGCGTTCCCCTTCACAGCTATCCAAAGGCAGATTTGTCACAAGATCCATCAGGCATACTACAGACCTGGTTCGACTGCCTCTACCACACTCTGCAGAGCACTAAGGAGCATCACGCACACATTTCATTTTATTTGGTCCCATTTTGAAATGTAACATTATTTCATTTGCAAGTCCTGTCACAGTCTCCTCAAACACAACATCTAACACACACAGTTTCAATATTACCCGCTGGCTCCAGATAGAGGTGAACCAGCTGCGTGCACAAAGTCCCATGTCACAGTTCTGTATAGTGTCTGGCTTCAGGTTCATGTTACACTCCTGATCATCATCCACATCGCCCTGGTTGCTCACGCACACCACCTCCCTGGTGCGCTGGCCAACTCCACATGGTACTGAACACTGGAGGGGAAGATGAGAGATCTAGATTTGTTTCTCATGAAAATCACTGAGTTCCTTTTATTCAGTGACATGTAAATTCCTTTGCTGCAGCTATAGAATGTGTGTTATGCATGTTTGTCTTCCTAAATGCCCATTCATGGCTGTATTGCTGAAATGAATGGCACAAGATACACATTACACACAACGTTGTCAGCTAGTTATACTTTGCTGGTTAGTGGTAGTGCTTTTATTTTTACTCCTTTGGGTCTTCCACTCTTTACAACTTGTATGATTTAATTGTTTCACATGCTCTACTTCTCCTGATTGGTCCCTGCACCTGCTCTTCAGCCTGCCTACCACCACTGCTGATTGATTCAAAGCTTCAGTCCTGTGCTCTAGTCAGGCTCTGTTATATGTTGGCTGGTATGTGTGTTAAAATTAAACGTATCTTAAGAAGTCCTGTTTTTTGTTTTTTTGTTTGTTTGGGGGGTTTTTTTGGGGGGGTGTCTGTAAGTTGTTATATTACCATTTTGGATGGTTTTCCTACTCTAGAGACTGGGCTAGCTATAGCCTAGAGTAAAACGGACATCTCATGTACCACACTTGGTTGGTTCTGTCTTTTTTTCTGTTCCTTTCCATTTTTTATGGTGTTTTGTCCAGCGGAGACTTGTCTGGATTACTTAAATACCTAAAGACTTCCCCCACGACTGATAAAATTACACTCCTCATACTACAGCTGTTCATAAGTATTCATGAAATGTGTGTTTTCTCACAGGGCTCCACTCTGATCGTATATCCCACTGACTGCAGATTTTCAGCTGGCACGTAGACTGGGTCACTGGCATGTCAGATGAACCGCACAGCTCTGACGTCACAGTAACTGAAGTTTCTGTCCCACTGGCGTGAACGTCGGTGACTTGGCGGCAGATGACCTGGCGATGCTGGGTCCCAGGTCCACACCTTCTACTGCACTCTGACCACTCGCCTACGTCCCAGCTGTTAGCCAAGAGAATAGAGAAGTGATGTGCTTTAATGTTGATGCATAAGTTTACTAAAGACCTTCACCAAATTGTCTTTGTCCTAGCTCTGTCTTCTTGGTGACCACAACTACTAAGTTCCTCTTTTCCACAGCGTATCTTCCTCCCCTTTACCCCCAACCAGCCACTCCATGAGCCTGGTTCTGCTGGAGGTTTCTTCCTGTTAAAAGGGAGTTTTTCCTTACCACTGTTGCCAAGTGCTTGCTCATAGGGAGTTGATTGCTGGGGTTTTCTCTCATATCACTATAAAGTTTTTACCTTACAATATATAAAGTGCCTTGAGGGGACTGTTATTGCGATTCAGCGCTGTATAAATTAAAATTTTGTGTGACCACTTCCCCACCATCTTAAAGGTTACTCGTTAGTTTTTTGTTTTTAGAGAAAAACAGATCATACAAAAGGCTATCACTGGAGCCCAAAAAGTGCTGCACAAATTCAGAAGTCTTTACTTTTCTTACTACTCATGTCTTGGTTTTATAGCCCTCTGTTTCTGCCACATTCCAAGTAAAAACATAAACATATATTTCACGATGACAGCAATCATGGATCACTGACACTGTGGGCAAAATATCTGACAGACCCACAACCAAACATAAAGTTATTGTCCTAACATCTTGGCAGCAGTAATGCAGAGTGGTATTTACCGCACGACATGAAAAATGAAGCTACACCAAAGAGATTTAGTGGCTGACTTACGGCTAGGACGTGTGCAAGTGATCAGGGTTCACCCCGAGAGTCACAGCACCATGTGGAAGTAATACTGTGTGCGTCATGTGTAGTTTATATGTAGCTCAGTCTGTGCATTAGCCACATCTAACAGAATAGGACATCAGGTGTCTGTGGGTGTTGCTCACTATGCAGGACAGGGCTGTATGTTGCAGTCTTCTTCCCACTTTGTTGTTTCAATGGCAGGGTGACAAACGTCAGCGGGAACAGCCGTCTGGGAATCCTTCTCAACACACTCCAGGACCACCTGACGCTTGCCTGGCAAAAACACAGACAAACACCCAGGGGAAAAAATTAAATAGGAGAGTGAAATATATGTGTGCTTATGCACAGTAATGTAGAAGCCCATTGTCCTAGAGACTGTTTCCGCTAGTGACTTGATTTCTTTATTTTAGTGGCTCTATGGTGTAGTAGTTTACACATTTACCAAACAAGTGAGAGACCCCTGGTTTCATCCCGGAGAACATAATATTTGAGATAATATCTGCCAAATCAGACATGCAGAGCTGCCCACTGTGCCCATCTTTGATTGTGTAAGCTATTATTATATGCTTTTCTTGTCTTTACAACTTGCCAATCCCGATGGCCCCAGGTGTAGATACTGTTAGCACTATCAGATTAAGATTTGGGAACTATGAACTAACTTCTTACCAGTGCCGCAGGTTGTGCTGCACTCTGTGTGCCCGTTTTTCATCCAGGTGTAGGTGACGTGAGACTCAGAGTTCACAGTATGGTAAGAGGGAAGCTGGTTGGGATGCCATGCCTCCCTGATGATGCTTTGTTTGGTCTTGCCATCATCATCTGGATAGGAGAAATCTACTGTCTCAGCTACAAGAAAGTTAGAGTTTAGAGGTTCCATGTGCCAGAGAAGAAGTGGGCTAACTTAAAATATAATATAACTTAAAATGTAACAAGTACAACCATAAGGCTGCCACACCGGTGGTTTTATTTAATATGGCTACTAAGATCTGTTTTAAGGACTGTGTGAATTTGTATGTAGGCTATTACAGTGGACAAACACTAGACTAAAACTAAAGCTAGGTGTGAACGAAACACTTTAGTTCACTGAAATAAAAATAAAAACTGGACGCTAGAAAAAGATGTAAAAAGACTGTAGTTGCAAAACTAACTAAAACCAAATTTTGAAAAATATACAGAAAATTACCTTATTCTTAGTTTTAATCTGGTTACGACTGTCAAACCAAGAAGTGCAAGGGGGCTTTACTACATACAGTTAGGTCCATAAATATTTATAAAATGAAACAATGCTCATAATTTTGCCCCTGTACATCACCACAGTGGGTTTTAAACCAAACAAGATATTAATAAAGTGCAGGCTTTCAGCTTTGGTTCACGGGGTTTAAGAAAATATTGCATCAACTGTTCAGGAATTACAGACATTTTGATACCCTGTCACATTCTCAGGGGATCCAAAAAATATTACACATTTGACTGAGAAGTGGTTTCATGGCCAGGTGAGGCCTGAGGCCAAATCTGGCATAAGTGACAGCTTATCTTGTCTCAGTGTGTGGCAAAGGGCTCTTTGCCAAGAGAAATTTTGACCTGTATCAAAAATGTCAATTAAACCCTAATCAAATGATCAAATGAACAGTTTTGCTGAAAACGATACGAAACGGTGTCACCCTGCAGTGCGATCTTAACCAAACACAAAGAGAAGCCAAAAAAGGGCACATGCTGTCTGAGGGTAAACCGTAGTCCTGATAATGAGATACTGACACTGTGGCCATACTGAGTAACTCAAATACAGCTTGTGTGCTTATGCATGTTAGTGAGTTTACTCACCCAGGGGAAGAACAGCAGAAGGTGTACCTGGCTCAGGAGCTAGGTATTGGTTTAAAGGCATGCTGTATTCATATTGCACAGTAGGAAATGGTTGTTGGTAAATCAGCTGTGAAAAAGAAAGAAAAAAAGATGAATGGCATCCGATAAGTAGTATTTTTTATACTATTTGTCTTTGCAAATCTTAATAGGACTCCTTGGAAGGTATATTTATTCGCTACTTTTAATTCTGATAATTTGTCAGACATATAAAGAAACTAAATTTGCACTTTTATAACCTCGTATCTCATAATGAAGCTCAAATAGTTTTTAATTTTCATGGGCAACTTTGTCAGATCAGTGTTTTTCATTTTCCATCTCACATAGACATGCAGGTCCTCAGTCAGCGGCCCCGGTGCAGTGATGGACTCTCCATTACGAGACCGGATCTCATTGGGTCGTCGATATGTCAGATATGTTCCCAGAGCAGCGTAGATCCCGGGTCTATTGATTAGCCAGTTTCCGTTGATGATGGAGACACCACGTTGGCTGAGCAGAGCTGGAAAATCCCCACGATTGTTTACTGCATCGGTGCTTGTCATTCTGGAAATACTTGTGCTATTAGATATGGTTATGTGTGTGTGTGTGTGTGTGTCTGTGTACCCAGATAATTTTGGCTCTTTTTGGTCTCCTGGATGCTGATGTTGCATGCTCCTGCAGGAATCTCTGCAATCTTATGGTAGCCAACGTGAAGGAAAGTCCGAGAAAAATTCCCCTTCACCACCTCAAACTGCTGCCAACACATACACTGGCACATGTTTTATGCAAACAAAGCCACAACACTGCACTTTTGTACATGTTCAGACACTTTCTGCTTACTCTCTTTACCATAGTTTCAGCATCACCCGTATTATTTTCAACAGTATAATCACAGATTCCGCTGGATCACATTGCTGTTCTTTTTCTCTCATTTTCACTCGTGAATCTTGCTCTCCCTCCTCTTGCTGTAAATCCCATAGCTCACTCGGTCCAACAGTTGGTTTGAATTGGGGAACCTTTCTGGTCTTCCTCTCCAATCCTCCACAATGCAGATCTCTATTTTGCAAATGAGTTTGGCTCATCTGCTCCGTTCCTGTCATCTCTCTTTTAACGTTTTCTCTGGTTCTTCGCATTTGAAATTTTATTTACAGTCTGATATTACTCAGTCTGTTAGTGATTACTCTCAGCCTGAGTGGCACAAACAGAGATGATCTAAAACACACAGGACACCCGCCACCCCTCCCCGAGGGCAAACTCAGTCCCACTCCTGCCTCCCCAATCTTAAAAGATTGTTACTTGCATTCTGCATCAGAACAAACACGATCTATATTACAAAGTAAGGATATAACTTAGCATGCCATGCCTTCCCCTTGAAGCTCATACTCTATAGCCCCCCCCCAATAAAAGTGTGGGCGTCTTACCTCCAGAGGGGACGAGCCACCTGTGTTATCCCAAGGAAGAGCACCTGTGGCTGGGGAAAGAAGACAGATCAAGTGCAGCAGAGCCAGAACTCGACCCTGCCCCAGATAGCAGGGCTGCTGCCACAATCCAGCCATGAAGAGACTGAGAGAGGAGGACAATCTCACACACTCACATAGACACACATCTGTAATGAGGGGAGTGTGTGTTTGAGAGTTGGGGTTGGCTTAAGGGGTGGGAGGGAAAAAGGACAGTTTGGGAAGGATGTAAGGAGAAGTGCTGAGAGAACATTATAAATGTAGGTGTCCTTTTAAGTTAATTTCACCTCCTTTACTCCTTGGTATGAATTCTGTGACAGCTCACGGAGAGCGTGCGTTTGTGAGAAAGATAAATGGACAGACTCCTGTAGCGTATCCTAATGCTTGTCCAAAGACAATATTGCTCCCTTTGAATCATCATGCAAGATTGTGGGGCTTTGGAGAGGCATTCTTCTTGCTTCTCCACCCACTTTTTGGTTTTTGCTGTATAAGGCTTGTTATGTTTTGAGTTATTGTTTTTATTATATTTTAGTGATGATGGGAAACACCTTTAGAAATTCTTTGGGGGAAAAAAAACAAAAGCCCACTGCAAACTGCTAGAGGATGGACTGAAAATCAAACACACACACGCACTGAGTGGCATTGTTCCCTGGTGATTTAAATTCCCCGAATAAATGATTCACATGCATTATTTTTCCATCTTATCATGACTCAGTTTACTACCATGTTGCTCTGTCCTTTACTGATCAGATCGCTTTTAACATTACTGTAAATTCACTGGCCTGCATTCAAAACCCCACTGTCACACACTCCCAAGGTCTTCAGTTTGAGAGTTTTGGCTAATATTTTGGATGGACATGAATGATTTGAAGGAGTGCAAACACATATGGGTGTAATATATTACCTTGGCTGAATGTTTTAGTTCTGGGAAGAGGACTGTTTTTGCCCTGTAAACACACAATGTAGTGAGGCTTGCCTAGTTCCATCGTTTCATGTTGCGTAGAGAGGAGCAATGAGAGTCAGATCTATCAAAACTTATGACACAGAGCCACTTCGGAAGGTAGGGGGCAGATAAAAACATGTCTTACCTGTGTTGCTGAATGGAGTGACAACATTTCAGACCTGAAAAACCTTTTTTTTCCCCCCACAGACTGTCCTTCAATTGACCCTGCAGCTGTTCACAACATGGGTGTGAAATTGCCAGGATCAAAACTTTCCCAACTTCTCTGAGAGCCCCCTTCTTTGTGATTGTGTATGCGCTCATGTTTATGTGTGGACTCTAAAAAGATATATGAGACACATATGTGTGGATAAAGTGCAGTGATGCAATGTCTGTTGTACACGGCCAATCTGGCCACTGTTTAAAGAGGTTGAGTGAGAACGAAAATCTGACTGTTATTCTGCAAAGCTTTACATCTCTCCTTTTGAGTGTTTAGCATGAGCCCTCTGACTGGAGACAGTTAGGCAAAGTGCAGCACAACCTTTATGATAGCATGCACCTACATACACATGTTGTACATCTAAACACGGACATACATGCCTCTCTTTTTCTTTACTTCAACCCTCTCTGGCAACCATCCAGGTCTAAGACGCCAGTCCCCTGCAGTGAACACCCAGCAGACATGGACTAATGACACAGGCATTCTGGGAACCTCCAAGAATCTGTCAGAGGATACTAGATGTACAAGACAAAAACTGTTAGGACCACAATGTCTGTTTTTGGTTGTGACACCTTTATAGCTGCTACAGGATGTCTCATTATACACTCACTGGAGGTGGTACAGCAGTATGGAGCTAAATATGTATGAAGGTAAATATCTTGCAAAATGTGAGAGCTTGTAGAATCTCACATTTTACAAGCTCTTACATTTTGCAACATGTTTACCTTCACACAGCAGCTCCTTAACGCAGAGATCTGCTTGAATGACAGTACACAACAGCATATATCCCAAAACAAATGCAGGACATGGATGCACAACCTGCATATTACACACATCTGCTAACATGATGTTTGTTATTGTTTTTAAAAGTTTCCGTGCGATTACACCAGGATTTTGTTCATGACATTTAGTTGCCTGACTGTTATGATTATGTACTGATGCTTATATGTGAAACTTTGCTGGCTGGACATGGCCTTGGCAGTCCAGGGCTGTCTGTTAAAACCATTTGCCGTAACAAAATTTGCTCTCAACAGCATTATAACAATTTTTTTTTAATTCTTTGAGTTGTAGCTTATAAAAGGACCCAGAGGGGGGAACACCCTATGCCTTGCAGTATGTTACAATACATTCAAAATATGTTTAAATCTGCAGTAAAACTATGAGCTCATGCAGATTTTAGACTAGCTGAGATCTGTTTAAAAAAAACACGGCTATTGCTTTCCAGACAATCAACCGTATGTAACTATTTAAAATATGTTTTCGTCGGTGTGTAAGTGATTGTGTATGTGTGTGTGTCTATGCTGACCACAATGACCACAAAGTACAAATGATACAAAGACAAAATGGTGAAAGACGTTTGCGATTTCGTTCTTTTAAAACCTCATACTGGTCTCCATTTTCCTCTGTTTTCCACTTTCCACCGCTGCTCTCTCCGCTCTCTTTTCTTCTTTTCACTCTCCCGTCTCCTCACACTCACTTTCTCCTCTGTTTGCTTCCAGCTGTGGTTGTTTGATGTGCCTCTGTCCCATCCCGTCCAGCTGCCGCACAGACCAAATGAGTGGTTCTGTCATCCTGCTGACACCTGGACATCCCCTAACCACAGATTACTTCCCTAACAACCGACTCATTTCCTAACAACCACGAGACATACAGGATGGTCACTGATTAATCACTGAATTGCTCTGTAGCTTTGTGGTTGTCCCTTTACAATTAAACTAATCAGGGAAAATAATCAGGGGCAAAATACCATTTATACATCATCTGCAGTGAAAGTGCTTGCATTACAAGTGGTAGACAGAAGATGGGGTTCTGCTAAAATGCATTTATAGTTCACCTCTCACCTGTTCCTAATTACAGACTTCAGACAGGCACAGCTGAAGACACCTCTTCTGACACCTTAAATACACCTCTTCGGTCAGCCACTGCAATCACATACCTATAGGGTCAAAACAGAACACTTTCCACATTACAAAAAACACATAAGGCTTTCCTACCTGCAGGTCGTAATATACCTGTATATGAAAGCATGATTACCAGTATCATCATTCGTCCACAGTATATTGGTTTGAGTGTAAATACTTATACCTAAAATATAAATATTTACTATTGGAGGTAATGGGAAACTCAGAAGGTTTTTTTTCTATTTCTTTTTCCATATGGGAATAATAGATGAACAAATCTGGCAGCATAGTGATGCAGTAGTTAAAACGTTGGCCTTGCAGCAATTAGTCTTTGGGTCTGAATCTGTTCGTTGGCTGGGGCTGGGAAATGGTGGACCCTGTGTCTTACCCAGTGTAGGCTTGTATACGGTTGACCACTGGGAATAATTTGCTTGGTGTGATAGTTTATATTATACTACATTATGTGGACAACCAGGTGTAACTTTTACCAGAATCCACTGGCAAATGAAGGCAAACTGGCAGAAGTACAGTGCCATACGCTGGACAGTGTTCTGGTCCTGGCATTTATGTGGACTCTACTTAAACATTGTGGTAGACCCTTCCATTGTTGCAGAAGCCTTCCACACTATTGTCTACCTCTCTGGAAAAAAAAAAAAAAACTACTTTAGGAATGGTTTGAGCAACCTAACAAATTCAAGTTGTTGACTTGTCCTCAATTCCCTAAAATCCAGTCTGAGTACCATCCGTGGAGACACTATCTTGCAGTTTTTTAACTAACATCTTGTTCCTGACAACACAGGATGCTTTCAGAGGACTTGCGGAGTGCATGCCTCAATAGGTCAGGCCTGTTTTGGCAGCAAAAGCGGGACCTACACAGTAGTAGGAAAAAGAGATTTCAGTGTTAAAGGGATGAGTGTATGCATACCAAAGCAAATAAATGATTTCTGACTGGCTGGGAGGTGTGTATTAACTTGTGGCTTGTTGGACTACTGAACCGTGTAAAGCCCAACAGAAATGCATTAACCCACATTGTACATATCTGACCAGACTAGTGCCATTAGTCCTTCCTATATGTACTCCAATATTTAACCATATTTAACCAGTATTTGTAGTTTTTGTATGCATTTAGAATATATTACTTTAACTGTGCTACTTTAGCTGTATTTAGCTATATGCCAAACTACTAATCTGGGTTTTAGGGGCAAATATGTTTGTTTTGTACCTTCTTATATCCTATTTGGAAGTTAAAATAGAAATGCATACGCATTTAGCAAATAGATCATACATACACATAAATAATAAAGCACAGGTTTCTGAGCAGAACATGTATTGTAACAAGATGATCAATGATATTCATTTAACCCGTCAGTGGTTTTAATGTTGTGTCTGACTGTTAAAGTGAACCAAATATAACACATACACATATAAATACCATGTTCGATTTTTTTTTATTTTTTTTTTTTACCCCTGGCTCGTTTGTATAAAAAACAACTTGATAATTAACGTAATTCTGATTGTGAACCAGCCTGCAAAATGAAAACAAAGTTGCACCAACTGTGCTTTTTGTTTTGCAGCTGCAGTACTCTTTTTCACCGCAGGGGGGAAGCACGAAGCGCAAACCGGAAGCAGGAAATGTAGTCACGTCAACGTGCGAAATTCAAACTTCTGTAACAAAACATCGGTCTGCCGGAGAGTTTTACCGTGTGGTTAACTGACGCTGCCGTCTTCCTCTGTTTTCGTTCAGGTAAATGCAGAATATCGAGTACTGTTTTGGTTCAGTTAGAGTTTATTGTAGTTACTTTTACCAAGTGCAAGCGGTATTAATGATTTATGTTGGCTACAGTTATGCAGTACTTGACGTTAAGCTAGCTAAACGGTCACAAACTGATAACCAGTGAGTGCCAAACTTAGAATAGTTTTTTTCGTGTCTGTTGCCAATATTAAGCATTTTTCTCTCCAGGAAAGTTTACCATCGTTCGCCGGAGCAGGGAAGATGCCAATAGAAAGGACGGAGCATCGCGGAGCGGACGACCTCCAA